TATTGAATATAGATTAAAGCATCGCGCAACAATTGGTGGGCTTTGCCGTGTCACGGCTCCGCCTAAATCCTCTGGCCCAGCAACAAGCATGTGGGCTCTATGACAGGAGGCTCGATAGGCTCGTTGAGCTAGACACCCCGCTAGGATCGTGATGAGATGTTCACGTGCTGAGGGGTCACCGAACACGACATTAGTCATTTATGGCCATTCAGAGCCATTTTCAGTGGATGTATGTATGTTGCCAACATACTACCAAATTAAAGGCCACCCCATCTTGGTCTTCATGTCTACTATCAAAATATTGCTCAACCTCCACCTTCGTCCAATTCGACCATACTAACACAACGTAGTTACCGTTGCCGGCCAGTTTAGTCGACTTGGGTTGATTAACGTGTTGACAAGTGACCTGTCCAAAGATAAGCCGCTTTTTCCTCACACCCACTTTCACAGAACCGATCCCCTCGGAAGGATCTCACCACTCGAGGCTTGAATATAACAGCATTATTAGCGGCTTCGCCATTCTCAGACAATCACTTGTCTCCACGCCTCGTTACCATGGCCATATTTGCCCCCTCTCGTGGGCGCCAACTCTTCACCACTGCAATCAGTTGAATCAGGCCCTGGTTAGCGACAAGTTGATTGCCCGCCAAACATTTCCATCTCATTGCCCCTATTCCCGGTGGTCCGCTTACAATTCGTTCACTCTTTGCCGAAGGGTCTTGAACTCCTCGTCGTCCATCAGGCGAACTAGACACATATTAAACAGGTTCCCCCTATTTCATTCAAGGTGGTAAAGGGAATGGTAGTTGAATTTTCCCATAAGCATACGATTAGACCTTACATTTCCATTGGATTTCATATTGCCTTGAAACTACTGGCTATTCGTGCACCGCGAAAAAAATAGAACGAATACATGACAATTCTGATGTACTGGTAGTAGTTACAAACGCAAAACTAGCTACATGCAAATCGGTCGTATAGGCACTACTCATGCACTACTGATCTGACGCCGTATCTCTCGACGAAGATTGGGCAAACGAAATCCTTTCTGGCAGGAGTACAGACGATGCTTACGCTACACAATGCATGGCTTGAATGCTGATATTGTCTAATGCACAAAAGCAGATCGCTACCAAAGTTGAGCCTAACCTCAGCTTGCGTGATATCATTTGATTAAGCGATAAAAAGGATGCATGCAACGAGAACAACATCTGGTCAGCTCACATTATCGGCCAATATAGTAACTATGACCATGAAGAGTCGCTGTTCCCCGACTCTCCAACGAGCCGGTTTCTCCATTTATTTATTAACGTCCATTGTTTATTTGCCTCCTTTTCGGCCGAACCAATAATACCGACTTTGTCAACACTGCGGTCATTTGGGAGGAAACTAAATTGTTGTTTTTTTTTATAATCCTCTCTCACTCTCCACATCCAGGGCATGGCATGGCATGGCATGGCTTTCTCCCATTGTCCGATGCCCCTTTTCGTCCGGTTGCCAACCCAATGACCCCACGTACTGGTCCTCTTTCACCGGCTATTGCCATGCGCTCCAGTCGCCCGTCTATGAGCTCTGCCAGGCTATACGTTCACTCTTTACTCTCCATCTCCATCTTCCTCTCCACTCGCCGCTTCGGTACCCACGACATCTCGTTAAAGAGCAGAAAAGTCACAAATCTTGCCAGTGAACACCACTCTCTCGGCCGTCTCCGCCCCAAATTGCCGCGACAGTCGATTTCTCTTACATGCTGCAAAGCCTCGTCTCCAGTCGCCCATCGACTTTAATGCCCCTCTTGGCCAGCCTCATCTGGCCGCCCCATTTCAAACTCCCCTCACCCTGTACCCTCATACCCTCGTATCCTCGCGCCCTCTCAGTCTTGGCCATCTCGTCATCAGACCGAGTCTCTCCTCCAACCTCTGCCTATGACGTAATCGGAAGGATGGCGCGTGCCGGCTTCCTCGATCCGGAAACCGGCTGGCCGATCGCCCGAGCCGACCTGCCGCGAGTTCAGCCAGACTAGCACAAAATAGGCCTTAGATACGACTTGGCTGGTTGGATGGTGAAGTTCTGACACACCAACAGATCAAGTCGACCCGAACGAGTTGAGCTCGAGTCTACTTAATCCGGACAAGTGACAAACATGCGAAGAAAATGTTGGGTTTCGAGGAGTCTCTTGCTTCATAATTGTTGTGCTTACTTCCATTTCGAGTAAGTGTTTGGTGAAGAGATTCGAAGGTCGATTCCACCAGAAGATGACGGCGGATTCCTCTTGACACACTCACAGGCTTCGAAGTTGACATGACCGTAACTAACCAAATCACTTGATACCTGATCAAAGAGACCAGATATAGAGTATATATACCGATTTTAAAGGAGTTACCGATGCGTTTTCTTGACTTATTAGCTTGAATTTGGTTGTGACGATGATGCCTTACTCTGATGATGTCTGTCATATGACGCACGTGTTCACCGGATTCGAAGAATATGGCCTCGAAACAGCTTCAACAAGAATGTTTGAGTAGTACCAACCGACAGTTGTCCAAGAAGAAAACTTCCTTGTCTCCTGATGGAACCGACCGTCGAGTCCATTTGTCACACATTCTCCATTGAAAGTGAAATTAGTTGACAATCATTTGTTTAATAGAACATATGAAGACCAAGATGGTGTGGCCTGTAGAGTCGAAAAGTGTCATCTGCCAAAGGAATCAGCTTGTGCTCATCCGACACTTAGAGCATTGTTACGTGCTTACTTTGACATGTATTCCAGCTTATACAGATTGACTCTAGAAGTTATCATGGATTTTATGAACTCCGGACAAGGTGCGTTTCTATGGGTCTCCCTTTATT